GAAAAGAACTATTTAAAAACTTAAGGGGGAAAAAAGAGGAGGATGAAAAGCAGGAAAAGACTTCCCGAGCCCAAGGCTGCTCCCCACAGGGCCCTGCCCAGGAAGGAGGCGGATTCCCGGCCGCCCTCCTCACGCGGGGGAACCGCGGCGCTCCTCCCGCTGCTCCCCCTGCGGGCCTCGCCTTGCCTCGAACAATCAAGAAACCCTAATTTTTTTAAACAAGCTATCCGTTTGTTTTTTCGTCTTTTATTTTATTTATTTATTTTCCTTCTTATTTTACCCCCAACGCGGCCCTCACCAATCCCCTCCCGCCCCGCGGCCGGCGACAAAATGGCAGCGCCGCCCGTCATGTCGGGAGGGCTCCGCCGCAACCTCCGCAGCGCCTCAGCCCCGGCGCCGGCGGGCTCCCTCACGGCCGAGGCAGCGGCAGGAGGAGGAGGAGGAGGAGATGAGGAGGAGGAGATGGAGGAGGAGGAGGCGGCGGCCGTGAGGGGAAGGCGGGGGTGGCGGTGAGGGGGGGGCCAGCACAGAACATGGCGCCGCGTCCTACTTGGCGCTGCGCTCGCCTCACGGAGCCCCCCCGGCCATGGCGGCCGTACCGCTGAGTCCTCCCCGCCACCCCTCACCTCCGCCGGCCTCCTCCTCCTCCTCCCGCTCGCCCAGGAGTTTTTAAACTTTAAAGCGCAGCTTCCGCCGCCCCGCGCCCGCCTTTGTCGCGTGTGTGTCCCCCCCCGCCCCGTCCCCCCGGAGCACACCGCGCTCGGTTCGGCCGCCGCGTCCCGCCGCGCTGCCCCGGGCCATGCCCGCTGAGGTACGTTCGCCGCCCGGCTCTCCCCTCCCCGCAGCCTCCCCGGGCGGCTCGGCGGCGCCGGGGCTCGGTGGAGCCTCCCCGGGCCGGGGCTTTGAGGGGAAGGGGCTTCCCCGCCGCGGCCCCGCCTGCCCCCGGCCCCCTCCCGCCCGCTCTTTCTTTTTGGGGTGCTTTTCCTATTTTTTCGCTTCTTTCCTCCCCGCTGTTATTTCATTGCTTGTTTGGGGGGTTTTGTTGGGTTTTTTGGTCGGTT